AATATGATCAGACAATATGACTATGAATAAACTTAAGGAATCAACAAAATAACTACTAGAACTTATATATACATATAACAGTCACAGGATACATGGTCAATATAAAAAGAATCAACTACATTTCTATATACTAGTCATGAACAATTAAACATTGAAATTTTTCAAAATACCATTTACAATTGCATCCAAAACATGAAATACTTAGGGATAAATTTAACAAAATATTTCCAATAATTACACTGAAAAGAACAAGGCTAAGATAAATTACAGAAAACCTACACAAACATAGCAATATACCATGTTCATGGATTGGAAGCCACTATTGTTTAGATATTGATTTTTATCAAGTAAATATGTAGAATCAATATAATCCCCAAAAACCCAGTTTTATAGAAACTGAAAGGCTGAGTCTATATTTTATATGACAATACAAACAACCTCAAATGGTCACAACAGTCTTGCCAGAAAAATAACAAAATTGGAAGACCATACTACCCGACTTCAAGATTTACTATACAAGATTCAGCAGTCAAGATGGTGAAATACTGGGGTGCCTGGACAGCTCAGTCGTTAAGTGTCTGCCTTTGGCTCAGGTCATGATCCCATGGTTCTGGGATCGATGCCCATGTTGGGCTCTCTGCTCAGCAGAAAGCCTGCTTCTCCCTCTCCCATTCCTCCTGCTTGTGTTCCCTCTCTGCTGTGTCTCAAATAAATAAATAAAATCTTAAAAAAAAAAAAAAAAGACAATGTAATATTGATACAAAGATAGACTCTAGCTCAACCAAACAAAATGAGAACCCAAGAGAAATGGCTTAATAATATCAAGAAGTACCCAAAAGAAATGAAAAAAGACTTGTACAAGAATGCTCATAGCTCATAGCAAGTTTATCCATAAAAGCTGAAAACTAGAGATAACATGACTATAAAAGGGGAAATGAATGAACAGATTTTAGGACAATAACACAACAGAATACTAATCAACAATAAAAAGGAATGAACTACTTATGGATACACTCAACCAACAAAGATAAACCAAAAACACTGTGCTGAACAAAAAAGGCCAGACACAAGAGTTATATATGATTCTATCTACATAGAGTTCTCAAGGGGATTGATCAGGAAGAAACACAGGGAAACCTTCTAGGATGACAGAAATATTCTGTATCTTAATGGGCTGCAGGTTATACAAGTCTGTGCAGTTTGAACTTCAAACTTGGGATCTAAGAGCATTCACCTTAAACTTCTCTTTAATTAAAGAAAATATACACACACAAACCCATACACACGCATAAACTTTTTTTTCACTCAAAAAATATCTGACTGCCTACTACAGCCTAGGAATTGAGAACACAAAAGTAGAAGGCAAGATACGGAAAAGGGACCTTACGGTCTTGTAAGTGAAGAGATGCAAAATGTTAGTTTTCATAATGAAAATCAAACAAGAGGAATCTTTTCAGCAGAGAAGTAAAAACCAGCAGACTGCCAATCAAAGAATATTACAAGTGTATACAACATACATAGAAGTAATAATAGAAAAAATCATAGTGGAGCCAGGCAACTAAAGTAATTTGATATGTTTACTGTATAAACGGATGAGAGAAGCTCCTGAACTGCTGCCTAAAGGGTTGTTAGAAAAGATGTGATTATGATGATGCGGGCTCTTTCTGCCTCTGCAATAAGCTATATTTTATCTGTTTAGCAAGAGGAAACTGAAGTTTTCATGGGGGAGTGAGAAATATAAATCTCATTCAGAAAGATCACTATAGAAACTATATGAAATATAGATTGGACAAGTCAATCTACATTTACAGGACAGTCAATCCTATTAAAAAAGGCTAATGCAATATAGACCACTTCATCCTCAACAAGAAAACACAATCTTCTCAAGTTCACATGGAGCAGTCACAGACCACTTTCAGAGCCATAAAACACACCTTAACAAATTTGAGAAAACAGAAGTTATACAATATATGCTTTCAGACCACAACAGAATTATTCTGGAAATTAATTAACAGAAAAATAGCTGCAAAATCCCCAAACACTTGGAGGTTAAACAACACACTTCTAAACAATATGTGGATCAAAGAAATCTGAGAAATTAAAAGATATACTGAGGGACGCCTGGGTGGCTCAGTTGGTTAGGCAGCTGCCTTCGGCTCAGGTCATGATCCCAGCATCCTGGGATCGAGTCCCACATCGGGCTCCTTGCTCATCAGGGAGCCTGCTTCTTCCTCTGCCTCTGCCTGCCATTCTGTCTGCCTGTGCTTGCTCTCTCTCCCTCTCTCTCTCTGACAAATAAATAAATAAAATCTTTAAAAAAAAATAAAATAAAAGATACACTGAATTAAATGAAAATAAAACTATAATTTATCAAAATTCATGAGATGCAGTAATAGCAGTGCCTAGAGGGAAATTTATAGCATCAAATGCATTTATTAGAAAAGATCTAAAATCAATCATCAAATCTTCCCCCTTAGAAAACTAGAAAACAAAAGCAAATAAATCCAAAGTAACAGAAGAAATCATAAAAATTAGAGCTGAAATCAATGAAATTTAAAACTAGAAATCAACAGAGAAAATTAAAAGCTGGGGGAGCCTGGGTGGCTCAGTTGGCTAAGCATCTGTCTTCGGCTCCGGTTGTGACTCCAGGATCCTGGGATGGAGCCCTGTGTTGGGCTCCCTGCTTGGCGGGAGCCTGCTTCTCCCTCTCCTCCCTGCTTGCGTTCTCTCTGATTATCTCCATCACTATCTGTCTCTCTCTCAAATAAATAAAAATAAAATCTTTAAAAAAAAAAAAAAGAAAAGAAAATGAAAAGCTGCCTCTTAAACTAGCAATAAAATCAGCAAGCTTCTACTGGCGTCTGGAGAAATATAGGGAATTCTTGTCTAATAGGTATAGAGATTCAGTTTTTTTTTTTTAATTAACATATAATGTGTTATTAGCCCCAAGGGTATAGAGATTTAGTTTTGAAAAATGAAACAGGGGGCGCCTGGGTGGCTCAGTGGGTTAAAGCCTTTGCCTTCAGCTCGGGTCGTGATCCCAGGGTCCTGGGATCGGGCCCCACATCGGGCTCTCTGCTCAGCGGGGAGCCTGCTTCCCCCCTCTCTCTCTGCCTGCCTCTCTGCCTGCTTGTCATCTCTGTCAAATAAATAAACAAAAACTTAAAAAAAAAAAAGAAAGATGAAACAGTTCTAGAGACCTGCTGAGCAACAATGGATATTAAAAGGATAACAAAGGAATATTATGAACAACTCTAGGCCCATAAATGTGATAATCGAGATAAAATGGAACTAATTCCTTAAAAGACACAATCTGTAAAAACTCATACAAAAGAAATAAACAATCTGAAGAGGTCTACATCTGTTAAAGAAATTAAGTCAGTAAGTAGTAACTTTCCAAAAAATAAACTACCAGGCCATATGCACTCACTGGTGAATTCTATCACACATTTATGTAAGAAATTATACCAATTCTCTACAATCTCTTCCCAAAGTCAGAAGCAGAGGAATACTCCTAGATCATTCTATGAGGCCAGGATTACTCTAATATCAAAATCAGATATAAAGGTATTACAAGAAAACTAGACCAATATATGTCATGAACATAAAAACAAAAGTCCTCAACAACTTATTAGCAAATTGAATCCAACAATATATAATGAGAATTACACACCAAAACTGAGTGGGATGTATTACAGGTATGTAAGGGTGGTTCCCCAATCAAAAATCAGTTAATATAATCCATCACATGAACAGGCTAAAAAAAGATAAGGTTACTGCAATGGGCTAGGAAAAAGTTGGTGAGCACACGTATTAGAACACAACTATAAGTGTTATTCACTCATTCACACAATGTGCCAACACCTGGGATACAATGGAACATAAGAAAAAATTCATCCTCTCATACAGCCTGCAATTTATTAGAGAGATAGACACTGGACAAGTAACTGTCCCTATTGCAGGAACTCAACCTGGACTAAACAGAAGGGGAAGGCTGAGAATGATGAACCACTATCTAGATTAAAAAACAGGAAGGGGGCTTTAGCTATTGAAATAGTAAATCTAGGGGTGCCTGGGTGGCTCAGTGGGTTGAAGCCCCTGCCTTCGGCTTGAGTCATGATCTCAGGGTCCTGGGATCAAGCCCCGCATCAGGCTCTCTGCTCGGGCAGGGAGCCTGCTTCCTCCTCTCTCTCTGCCTGCCTCTCTGCCTACTTGTGATCTCTGTCTGTCAAATGAATAAATAAAATAAAAATAAAAAACAGAAAGGGGGTATGCCTGAAGGGAATACTGTAAGCAGGATATGTGAAGGTTCTGAAGGAAAAGAAAAAGCACAGTATATTAGATATAATGAAAGAAATTCAGGTTTAATATTACAAAAAGAACTGAAGATTACATTATGGTTATAATTTTGCTGGTCATCAGGTAAAAAAAAAAAAAACCACAAAAAGTCAAAAAAGTTATGGGTGCCTACAAAAGAATACTTGACATCCAAGATAAACAGGAAAAACTAATAAAGCTCATATAACTAAAAAAGCTCAAAAACTAAAAAGCTCATATACCTTTTAAAAAGATAATGAAAAAAATAGAGACACCAGGAATTGTCAACTTACAGAATTTGAAGGGAAAAAACCCTCAAGTGTCTGATCTTTTCCTAGTTACGCTCAAGATTCAATCTTTCTCCTCTTCAAGGAAACCCAGAAGTTAAAACAAAATCTTTAAAATTTAAGCACTTAAAATTTAATACACAGTAATCTTGACAGAGAAACTTTATCCTGGAAAAGATTAAGTTTCTAAAATGTATATAATACAAAAACTTAATTTTGCTTTTTCAAATGTGATTTCTGTCAACATTTAGCATACCTATTCAAGAACATCCATTTGAGCTATTAAGCCTTTAAATATTTTCTGAAATTTCCTCAATGACTTGAAGTACTATTGAACACAAAATTAATTATGTTTCTAACTATAAGTTATATTAATCTTATAAAGGAATTACTTACAGGGACATTAAGTGCATACTGTAGTCCTTGAGGAAGTCTTTCATGTGTTTCCATCTGCTCTTCATCATTTTTTACTGTCTCCTCATGGACCATGAGTTCATCATGTGATATCATATCCTGTTGTCTCATTTCACTTTCTTGTAACACTTCATCTGCAGCAAGGATCTCCTGGTGAGGCATACTTCGGTCTTGAAGTACCGACTCCTGCAGTTCCCCAGACACGGTAGACTGGCCAGACACTCCACCCATTACAACCATTGCCCTGGAAGACTGCATTTCGTCTATGCCGCCACATTTAAGAAATAATCCTTCCAGTTTGTCGTCAATGTTCATGCTTAAGTATAACTGCCTAGAATAAGTTTGGCAACAAAGCATAATAAATTAGTTTTATATGTCTACTTGATACTTTTTAAATTTCAATTATGAAAGGTACACACTTTAACAGAAAAATTTTATTCATGTAATTCATTATCATCTCCAATTTTAAAATTACCAAGATAAGTTTCCAAAGACTAGTAGAATACAAATTTTCATTTTTGACAATATGGCATAAAATCTTAATCTATTTCATTATGAAAAATGAATATGACATAAAGCAAACTGGGGGAAGTATTTATAACAAAGGATTCATATCATTTAACATATTAAAGTGTCTTAAAAAATAAAAAAGTGCATTCATTAATAAATAAATAGACAAACCACTATTAGGCAAATCACTATATATATAAAATAAAAGCCACTTACAGCAGTAATCAAAGAAATGAGCATTAAAACAGAGCTACCAGATTTCATCCACCAAATTGGTATGATTCTTTAAAAAAAAAAAAGTCCAAATTTGAGGTAAATAAAAAAAAAAAAAAAAAAGACATTCATTTCCTAACGGTAAGAAAATAAGTTAGCTCCATTATTTTCAAAGGTAATATAGTACTATGTATCAAAAGCCATAAAAATGCACACCTTCTTCAAACTGGTGATTATACTTTAAGAAACCTATCCTGACAAAAGAAAATACACAGGAAAAGTCACTATAGTATTATTTACATTAGCAAAAAAATGGAAATAACTATGCATTCAACAAAATGAAACTGGTTAAAATATATTCATACATATGTTTTAAACTATAGTGATGGCCTTACGAATCAGTAAATTTATTAAAAATCCCTGAACTGAACACTGAAAATGGGTGGATTTTATCATATATAAATTATATCTCACAGTTATTCTTTTTTTTTTTTTTTTTTTTTTAAATTCATTTGACAGAGAGAGAGAGAGATCACAGGTAGGCAGAGAGGCAGGCAGAGAGAGAGGGAAGCAGGCTCACCGCTGAGCAGAGAGCCGATGCGGGGCTCGATCCCAGGACCCTGAGATCATGACCTGAGCCGAAGGCAGAGGCTTAACCCACTGAGCCACCCAGGTGCCCCTCTCACAGTTATTCTTAAAAATAAAATCAGAATAAAGGCTACCCTGTGAGGGTTGCTGCTGATAGTAGGTAGGAAATGGGAGAGGTCTAGGTGCCAGCAATATTTTTTCTTGAGTTGAATGCTGACTGCACAGGTGTACTTCGTTTGTAAAATCTTCAAGTTGTACATCTGTAATATGTGCATGCTTCTGTCAGTTATTATACTTCAATACATCTGCTGAAGCTCAGAAAAGCATGTATACAATAAAAATATTCTTGAAAGGGACGCCTGGGTGGGCTCAGTTGGTTAAACGTCTGCCTTTTGCTCAGGTCATGATCCCAGAGTCTTGGGATCGAGTCCCACATAGGCTCCTTGCTCAGCGGGAGCCTGATTCTCCCTCTGCCTGCTCTGCCTGCTCTGCCTGCAGCTCTTTGTGCTTCTGCTCTCTCTCTGACAAATAAATAAATAAAATCTTAAAAAATATATATTCTTGAAATATATTTGAAAATGTAAGGGAATATCCCAATATACTAAAGGAAATGTGTGTGTGTTTGAATGTAGAGATTTCTAAAATGCTAACAATATTAACATTATCACTGGGTGGTGAAATTGTCATAAGTTTTTTCTATATTTATATTTATCTCTAATTTGAAAGCTTACTATAATAAATTTTTATGTTTTACACTTTTTAAATTCATTAAAATGAAATAAAAGTGAAACTTGTTAATAATATCTTGAATAAAGCACATGAAAAAATTTAATAGGTCATAAGAACTACACACAATCAAATAATTACATTACCTTATTTACTCCATTATTTAGAAAAAACAGGCAATATTACATCTGCCCTTCTAACTTTGGTTGTTGTAAATTCAAATTCAACTGTGTTACTGTAGGAACTAACAGAACAATCATGAAATCCAAAGAAATTTCATCTCAAAGAGGCTGAAAGCACTGGTACAGAGTTTGTTTTTCAAAATCGCTTTCTACTGTCAGACTGTGTAAAGTTAACATACATATCCTACCCAAAGGGAAGGGTACACAAGTAGTAAATGCATTAACTATGTTTCAGTTTGGTTACCTCTTTCCCAAATCAATCAGGTAGATAATGGTTAGTACCCTGATCATAGCTTTCAGAGGTAAAATAAATGATCAGGTACATTCAAACACACTACTGAAATTTAAATACACTTTCATTTACTAAAGTTATCATTTACTGAAAAACTAGTACTTAAATGAACAGCTCAAAAAAAACCCCACATAAACAGCTAAGTTAAAAAACACAAAAAATATAATCCTTACTTACTAAACTTATCTTCCCTGGTACCAGGTATTATCAGCCTAGAATACATAAAACAAAGGACCTAGAATCTGATTTTACTTTTCAAAATCTTTGTAGCAAACTTGGATCAAACTCCACATCCGGGTCCCTGCTCAGCAGAGTCTGCTTCTCCCTCTGCCCCTCCCCGGGTCCCTCCTCCCAGTCATGCTTGCTTGCTCTCTCGCTCCCTTGCTCTCAAATAATTAAAATCCTTTTAAAAAATCTATAGGACAAAGATTTTAAATAAAACTCCAAGTAACTGTCCTCTGCTAATATTCTACTTATCACGTTTCTCAGAAAATAAACTATCCCATAAGAAGGTGAAACTTGAAGTCCTACAGGGCTAAAATTTGCTTATTCTGGCCATTTCTTTGGAGGTTCATACCAAATCAATTACATTCTTCTAATCTATTTACTGTTTCCTTAAAGAATGTGGAAAGTCCCTAATTTGGAAGGGAATTATGTAGCACAAAGCCACCCTTTACTGCAATTCCTCACTGCTGCTCCAGCTGCTACTGTATATTGTTATTAAAAACAAAATACAAAAAACTGGGGAGCTTTTAAAGAATATGGGAGATGTAGATGAAGAAGTCATTAAAAGGTCAACTTAAAGAAACTGATAACTTTAAAGAAAAAGTGGCCAAAGTTGAAGCTGACTTGTTAACCTGACACAAGGTCTACACTTCCCAAAAGCAACGGTCCCCAACTCCACTTTTTATGATGATGCACCTCATCACTTTTTTTAAATTGAGTATATCCTAATATATGCATACTATTTAAAACTATACCCCTAAAATACTGTTAATATAAAATGTACATATGAAAATAAACATTAAAATATAATTTTTTACTAACGTTATCCCTAACATGAGGCTAAAACAGTAAGTACTGAGGAAGTCAAAGTACTTTGGGGACAGAGACTATTTTGGGAAAAAAGGTAGGCTTACATTACGTGCCAGGGTGAGGAACTTGGAACAGGAAGATACCACACCTCAATATAGAGAGAGCAAATGGAAAAGGAAGTGGAAAAGACTAAATAAAAGACAAATATGACCTCTTCGAAAATCTGCTTGAAATCAGGCCACAGACACAGAAAAAGGAATCTCTCTTCCTTTTTTACATATGATTTCTTATTCCTGTGACCCCAAATTAAGCCATATATTTTGAGTTACTGGCTAGCTGAGAAACTGTTTTGAGACAACTTCCCTGAAACACCAGAAAATACTAAGATACAAATTTCAGTATCAATGAACGCTGCTCTGACAAGGGCTGAAAGCAAGCCTTGGAAATATCAAAATGAAAACTGCATGCCCCCTTGACCCAGCAACCTCACTGCTAAGAACATACATAAAAGCAAGCCTTGGAAATATCAAAATGAAAACTGCATGCCCCCTTGACCCAGCAACCTCACTGCTAAGAATATACATAATCATATAAAGTAATTCATCAAAATTAACCAAAGATGTATGTACAAGGATGTCTGGTGGAACCCTTCAGTGGGAAAAGACTAGAAACAACCTAAGCATCAACTGAAAGAAGACTTGTTCAATTAATTATGATTCAACCATACAATGGAACACATGCAGTCATTAAAAGGAATGAGGCTGCTGTATGTACCAGGTGAAAAGTTCTTGGAGATATATTAGGTGAAAACAATCAAGAAGAAGACACATAGACATATAAATTGAACCATACTTCTACCATACATCTCAACTAGTAAATGGGCAGAGTACGCTGAACAGGAAATTAGATAAGGTTCTCAAACAATAAAGTTAATTTCACCAAGGATAGAGTAAAAGAAAAAAGGACAAAGCTACAAGAAAAATGATAAGGAAAGACCATTTCTATTGCCTCTGAAACTCTCTTAACATTCACTTGCCATCTTTAACTTTCCCCCTTCTAACTCCTGCATGGTCTCAGTGAAAGCTCTCATGTGCTTCACTGCACATTCAACAGCCCGAATCCAACAAAAGGTCCTATGCACAAAAGTTAACATAGACTACTTTCCTTCTCTAACTTCAGTTATTTTCAAGGAGGATCAGTCAGGAGTAAAGAAAGGAAACTGATGTAATCAATCCATGTTAAAAAGTGAACATTAGGGGCACCTGGGTGGCTCAGTGGGTTGGGCCACTGCCTTCAGCTCGGGTCATGATCTCAGGGTCCTGGGATCGAGCCCCGTGTCGGGCTCTCTGCTCAGCAGGGAGCCTGCTTCCCCCTGCCTCTCTGCCTACTTGTGATCCCTCTCTGTCAAATAAATAAATAAAATCTTTAAAAAAAAAAGTGAACATTAAATGCTAAAATGTCAAAAAGCCAACTAATGCTTTTTGACCCAAACATCTATACAATTAATGGAAATGTAGGTGTTAGGGGTATATTACACAGCAGAGAGGAAGAAAGAAATAATGTTTCCTTTAAATCATGTCACTTACATGAAAGCCTGCTCTGGAAGAAAAAAAGAAACAAACAATTTGTGTTCCCATGAGCCTCTGTCCAACCAGGGAAAAAGAAGGGCTAGGTGGAATAATAAGCAGCCAGTCACCCTGAGTTCCTTGTGATGACAAATTCTTTTTTAAGGGACCACGGGCAGCTGACAAAGAGTATAAAACGTCACAGCTGTTTAGAGCCAAG